GGACACTATTTTTTTCGTACCACTATTTTTTTTTTATTGTACAGTATCACTAAAAAATAGATTCAAAATAACAATATTTCATTCAAATTTGTGCCTTTTTATCCTTAAAATGGATCGATATCTAGGCCCATTGAGTTACTGTACTGTACTTTTTTTATTTTAAACTAAATTATGGAATTTTTTTTTTTCTCTGCATACTTTCATATAAGATTTGACTTTTAGTCATGGGATTTATTATTTTTCTTGTGTACTTTGATATACTGTACTGTAGGATTCAAATCCATAGCGTCCAGCACCCTGATTTTCATAACAGGTAGGAAGTACTGTACAGTATTTGAGGGTGCACTTAGGCCTTTGCTCTCAGATACCATCAAAGTGTCATACAACTGTGATGTTGCAATGTCAAATAGTTCATTACATGGATCATTGAAAGCAAGTCTAAGAAAAAAATAAATCTATCTGAATTTATCATAATTGGTTCTGACTGGATAAAAATTTTTTTTTCTCAGAAATTTCTGATTTTTCATGGCACAGCGAGTCTACTGTAACAACAGGCCAGAAAATAAATTGTATTTTATATTCACAAATAATAATTATCGGCAAGAGACGGTTGCGCAAAACAGGGTATAAAAAACTTGCCTAATTATTATTGGGCAATACTTAGATCTGCTATGGTAACTACACACAGTAATTTTATAGCTTGTATAAAATGTTTGCAAACACTTAAATTGTAAAATAAACTTCTGGCAAAGGGGACAGTGCTGTAGACTTTCAGGCAAAATTAAGGGTAAAATAGACTATCACATATCCAACAGGCATACAGTAAGGTACATTGCTGTCTGCATCAATCCCCAGGGCAGACTAATTTGTAACTTTATTTCACACACATTTTGGAGGTCAATTATGATGAAGGAACAGATTTAACTCCTAAACATGAATCAAAAGATGTTTTCCTTTTTAAAGCTTGCTGTTTTAGCATCATTTACTGACATTTATCTGACAGCTATTTCACAGCAATTTCAAGTAATTCAAAAAACGATTGCAACATTCAGCCATGAAATTAGCCAAATGGTTGCCAGTTTCACTTTCATTTTTTTACCCAAGGTCTTGATCTTATTTTTAATCACATAATTTTCTGTTTAATGTATGACGCTTTGGATGAGCAAGATAAAAATACTGATGTAGCATCTTCAGATGACTTTTACTTTCAGGAAAGGAAGTAAAATATTATATGACAATTATTTTTACCATTAAATAAGTACAGTAAATATCCTTGTAATAGAGACATACTATTATTCGGTGCATCTCCATTCCACAGTACAGTGAACCAGTTCAAAATCATTTACAACTACCAAAAAATCAGAAAAAACTAACCTGAAATATCAATGACAAAAACAAAATTGTATTCTGTTAAAATATAGGCCTACTGTAATGTAGCAATTTAACCAAAACAAAGAGAAAGTAAATTGTTCGCAAGGTGTTAATCATATAAGCATGGACATTGTGAGGAAGCTAGTAAGCAAATCCAATAACGTCTAAAACAAGACAAACAAAGGGGGAAGTAAGAGAAAACACACCGCCTCAAGAGCCCAAGCCTTACTCTCCGCAAGTTCTTAAGAAATTACCTCCAGTACGATGAATTGGCATCATCATGAAATTTGCCCTCAAATAAAACTCTTTAAATAGCTAAATCTTAGTCTTTCCCAGCCCACAAACATCATACTCTGAATTTCAATGGTTTTCTAGGGAATGAATCTAGGCCCTAGATAAAGATGTATTTTTGATAATAGAATGGTTTAATCCTCCAATCCTGGTGGTAATGGTGATAAGCATCACAATACATTCATGAACATCATGATGATACATTGATCATCATGTTAATTGATGATGATGATGACTGTAATGACAAATGACAAATGATAATGATGAAGAAATTGAGGTTCACGATAATGATGTATTTCATAGACTGATACTCTAAAGGCTGGTAAATAAGTTCTGTACTAATAATACCCAATACAATTTTAATATTGATAACAATTTAATGATGATGATTAGGAGATACTAAGATTTAAGAAACAACTTGATTCAATGTTACAGGTATTTATTTTTGTCTGTTGCGACTGTGAGTTTGCCCTGCTCCACCTGTTGTTTCAATTCTTCACTTTCTTTGAGCAGCTATACAGCCGCTATTAAATACTGGATATAAATAAATCATCACATTTTAAACATGAAATGACTAAACAGGCCTATCCCAACAGGGCTGGCACGACTTCTCACTGTGCTTCCTTCGTTTGACAACTCGAGCATCTGTCAATTTCCTTCACTTCACACAAAACGTAACACACACTGGCAGTTTTAATACACAGCGCACCAGAACCAGATGTCTCCCGCACCAAGAGAACAGCCGGTTCAAAATGCAGTTCTAAGTTGCAAAATTAACTCCATTTCCTGATACTAAACTGCAACTTGGGGCCAATTTGTTCCTCTGGTAACAATCCTGTTGCACAAAAGGTCGTAAAAATATTAAATTCCAGGTTGGATTTGTAGAAGGGCAAAGGTAAAATTTTGGTGGATAAAAAAATCATCAAAACTGTCTATGTCTTATGGGAATTACCCTCCTTTAATGACTTGGTGAGGTGAAAATTTATGAGAAAATTTTTTTAGCTGTGGAAACAGAATCTACTGTACTATCATTAATACTGTAACTGTATAATAATCAGTCAGCAATCAAAAAAACATTTATTCAAACAAGAAAATACTAAAATTATAGATTACAGTAATATTAGTTATATCATTTCTCTATTCATGCAAGATCTCTTTTGCATGTTGTTTATAGGATTTTGATTTTTATAACTTTACTTACTATTAAATAAATACTGTATTAGATAACAATGAAATATTGAGTCTGTTCATCTTTATACAGTACTGTATTCTAATGGTTACACAAATATTGGCGACTTGGATGTGCTATACAAATTGTAGTTGAAATGAAAACATAACCACATGATACACAAACATGGTCTAATAATTATCTTGTAATTAGTTAGTTTGCATAGAAATAAGGAACCTATTAAAAATACTAGCAGAAATAAAGCTCAATTTATGACTAATAATAATTTATTTGATCTTCAAACTGCTCAAGAAAGAGCAGTAAAAACAGGCAGTAAACATACAGTAGTCGGCTTCCAAATGTTAAAAACACTGACACTAAATATTACTGCATATAACACTAAACAGCTAGATAACTTTGTAAGCTGAAACAAACCATATTTATTCCAATCAATGCCCCAGATTTAGTAAATGCCTCCCTCGAAATAAACAACCTGAGGTGTTTGTATTTTCCTTGATTATGCCTCACACCCACCCAAGATGTGTATAAGAGACAGATACTGTACTGTAGGATTCAAATCC